CCTTCCATCTGCATCCAACTTGGACTTCCAACACAGGGAAACAATGGCTTCAAATCATAGAACTACACTATTCAAGATCAAATAGTTACACTTTTCCATAATAGCAATATTACCCATAATTTGATCCACATGGGGTAGAACCCTAGCCTCTTGAAGTAAGATCTAATTCTGGGTTTTCATTCCACATTTTAAAAAATTAAAATATTTTAAATAAATAGATATTTTGTGAGCTAACTAGTAAAACTAACTGCTATTTGGGGGTTAGATTATATAAATTAATATCAATTAATTTAGATTATTTCTTCAGGGAAAAAAGTGGAAGTTCAACTTGGGCCTTTCTTGTTTCTGTTAAGATGATACTGTCTTCCTTAATTTGTTAGGACTAATATCTAGTAAGCTTCAAAAGTACACTAACTCATAAAAGATAAATGCTGCATTTATAGGAGAGTAGTCTTTGAAATTCTAAGTACAAAGGATTACTTTATTGAGTTGTTATGAGTTTCCTTACTAATTAATAGTAGCCATCTCCTAGAAAATATCGATTTGAGTAAAAGTGGGATAAAAATATAATTTTTACAAAATGCTCTCTGTGATGATCAGAAATGATTTATGAATTAGCTTTAATGATATAAATCATAATTTTGGAAACCACAGTCTCAGATAGGTTCCTGGTACACGCTCCTAATCTCAGGAAAAAGGGAGGCTGAAGGAGGAGGACAGCAAGTTGGAGACCAGCGTGGACAACGTAGTGACTTAGCAAGACCCCATCTCAATGAAAAGAAATAAGTAAATAATAAACAAACAAACAAACAAGGCTGGGATCAAAGCTCAACACAAATGCCCTAGGTTTGTTCCCAATATTCTTTTAAAAAATCTCTTCCACCCAGTTTATGTTATTTAATGAAATTTTGAAATCATCGACAATCTTTCTTATTGTATGTCTCAAGACAAAATTACTCTGCAGGATGGAGATATCTTTCCTGGTAATTTTTGCTCAATTTTTTTTCTTCTAATGAGAGCACAAACAAGTTTTGTGTAGGACTTGATAATTTCTAATTAACCCCAACACAAGACCTAACACAAGATAAAAATCATTAGATGAATCTAAAAAGTTAACACTCTAAGAAACTATTGAAGACTGTACAAGGAAGAAAAGAAGATGTCTCCAGTCAAACTCCCTCTGGCTATTTTCAAAAATAATTCTGTTTGCTCTGCATTGTGAAAAATACAACATGAAGTAATGAGTATTGACTGAACCTACACTGAATATAAAATCTGTTCCCAAACCCATAACAGATGGTTTGATGCAAATTAAAGCCATCACTCCGCCGTTTAGAGTTGGTAGAAAAGGCACATATTTGAAGGTACATTAGTTCCAAACTATTTATTTTAAAGCCATCATACATTTAAAAAATCAATTGATTTATCACATATATGTTGTCTACTAGATAATATATAATTAAATTATACAGGGCTAAGAGTACAGCTCAGCAGTACAGAGTCTGCTTAACACGTACAAGGCCCTGGGCTCAACCCCTAGCCCTATCAAAAATAAGGAAATTAATAAAAAAATATGGAAACAAGCCTCTACTATGGAACAGTTTTCACCTGATAAGCTTTTTCAAAGCATGGGAGTTCTTTGTGGGCTATGCAAAATGATCTTACCCTGAGAATCAAGAGTCCAGAGCCAGGCATATATACCTGAGTCTTCCAGGAACTAAGGAAGAGACAATATGCAAATTACTGCTTATTGGCCTTCAGGTGCTTATCTGAAAACTTGCTGTCGGAATACATTGTTTCTAAAACATATGATCCTGGTCCCTGTTTCTGTATCTCTTTGGGGCTCGAGAACAAATTTGGGGCTGTCCAGAGCCCATGGCCTTTAGTATTAAGAGAGTGATTTGCAAGACACTAGATATCTTTGGCTGAGACTCACACTGCTAGGGATTCTATGCAAAGCTTAGCAGAGTGCTCTCTTTAAAAATGTAATGGTTTAGTATTCAAAACAGATCAACAGAAGGAAAGTCTAGGGATTTAATAACCAAAGAAATCTTACATATGACAATTGCTAGCTTTTTTTCAGGAGCAAATTCACAATAAACTCTTGACCCTCTGAAGGGAGCTAGTAATGTGTTCACACAGTCATACAATTGTTGAAAATGTGCAAATTGAATTAAATTTTGGCTATGATTAATGGAGACTGTTTTCTCTTTCTGCTGTAATTATTCCCTGTTACATCACTTCTCATTTTTATTGATCTTTAAGGCTACTGTGACTTTAAGGATTCAAATGAAGAAAGTTGACCTGGGAATTCTGGGCACCAGGTTTTGGTTGTACAAGATGCTCCGCCATCTTTTCTGTAATTGCTAATTGTGTTATGTCAACTTGCCTAACACACCACTGAACTTCCTCATGTGTGTATGGGTGTTTGACATGAAGGCCAGGCAACTGAGTGGGGAAGACCTACCCCAGATGTGGGTGCGCCAACCAATAGTACTGTGGCCTGGATGGAATACTAAGGGAAAGAGGAAAGAAGTGTTCCCACTTTGGAAGCACTGTGGCCTTCACTCCTGCCTTTGGACATTGGTCTCCAGTTTCTTCAGCTTCTTACTCAGACTCACAGGAGCAGCTCTGCAGTGAGCTTCCAGGCCTTTGGCCATCATCTGACACTGGATGCAGCTGCTCTCCACTGTGCAAATGGCCACTGAACTCTCCCACCTCCAATCCTGGAAGGCTGCCCCCTGCATTCCCCTGCATAATTATGCATATAGTTTCTATTTATTCTGTGCCTCTAGAGAAAACAAACACAACTTCCATGGTCATATTTTTGTGGGCTGTTCCTTGGTACCAGAGAGACGTCTGCTGATTCCATGCTGATGTTTCCAGTCTCAAAACCCTGCTACAGGGCTGGAAGTGGTGTCTTGCTTTGAATGGACACCACAGCCCTGGTATCAAAAGCACCTGATGAAAGGTAGCAACAATAAAAGGTAGGAAGTGAGGGGGGACAGTTCTTTTAATCACTAAAAATAGGAGCTTGTGTGAAGATTCAGCTTTTATTGGCACTTGAAATAGAAATTTAGTACCTAATACAAATACACACAATATGTACATACGTGTTGCATGTCTGATTGTATATGTAAGTGTACATTTATATCATATTTAAATACAATTAATCTTAGCCGAAAGGCTGAGAAGCGTTATATATCATATATGAATAGATCATACCTTACACTAATTTTTGAATGGAATGAATAAGAATCCCTCTGTTTATGGGACATTTTCTCTTGGCATAGCCACAAAGCACAGGAATGAGAACTCAGTTGTGTGATTGTAACTTTTATGCACCACCCCCAGTTACGTCTGAGAGTGTATTATGTGTGTTGTGTTGAAGAAATCTGGAATTTCCAGACAGAACAGCAAGGGTTCTGCCAATCCATCAAAGGTCAAATATTACACAGACACACCTGCAGGTATTATCGATAAATCCACATAGGAAAAGAATAATTTTATTACAAATAAAGATGGTTCACTATACATGTCAGCAATGCAGAGTCTGTTTGAATTACTCCAATGTATGTCTTAATTTCAAAATACTGTTTTGTATCTTTTACAGAAATGTTAATGAAACTAATAGCTTAAAAATATGTGCTAGAATTGTGTAAGGCAAGTAATTAACCAAAATATTGTGAGTTTTCTCTTTCTAGACATTATGGCTCTAATATTGCCAATTATTTTAAACACTCATTTAATTGCCTATTTTTGGATTGATAATTTTTCATTTTTATGAAAAACTCTTACAAATTACTGAAATAATATAAAATGTTAGAAGCTTCAGATGTAACTGAATCTGTCCCTGCCTCTTACATAAAAGATTGACAGATAGTTTTAACGGCTGAAATCCTTTCCCAAGTATCAATTGTTTAAATGGATTACCTCAAATAATAGGATATTGTGTAACATTTGTAATCATGTTTCCATTTTATATTCACTCCTAGCACTTTATAAGATTAGACTGAACCCACAGAAGTTTTTGGTGTTGTTCCCATCTGAATGCAGGAGGATTTGTTCTGGATTAAATATTCAATGTTTTATGATGCCTACAAAATCTATCATTATTTTACATTAATCAAGTAATAAGGTAACCTATTCTTTTTTTATTCATAGCAAAGAAAACACACGTGCAATATTGACTGATCAAATTTTTTTTCTTGGAAATGTTTAACATATTACAATCTTAGCTGCAACAATTCCTCTCAAGGACAACTGTGATTCCCAAGCCACTGCCATGTAAAGCTTTTGAGGATTCTTCTGTTACTTATGTATGTTTACTGCCAGAAAACATCATTTCCTCTTTCTGCCAGATGCCTTTCTTGACATTTGTCTTCATGACTCTGATACTCTTTATCCTTCCATTAATAATGATGCTTTCATGCCCATGAAACAGCAGCGCCTTGACTCCAAGTATCTTGAGCACAGAATGTTAAATTTCAGAAGAGAGGTGGCCTTTGGTCACCACACGGTCTGAACAGTCCCGGCTCTCAAATCCCTTTACCTGTACTAGCGGAGTCCCTGGCCTAGAAGACAAGATGCCTACTAGCAGCAGCAAAGCCCATGATGGAAACAGGTGAGAAAATCTTATATTTCAGCGTGCAAAGACAGGAAGATAAGGCTATCTCAATTGTTTTAAGCTAATTTAAAGAAGGAAAATAAAATAAATTGTGCTTCAGCCATGTGCAATTCTGGCAGGAGTTGCTCATCTTTTCAGTCAGCCTGGCCCATTTTTCTTAGATTGATAGTGTGACCGCCAATTTTGTTGTCATCTTGATGGGTTTAAATCATACACCTCACGGATTAGCCAAGTGCAGTTCCTTGTGTGTCTGCGGGGCAAGGCCAGAGGTAACCGGCACGTCAGCCAGCAGACTGCTGGGGAGACCCACTGCGACTGCGCGGAGCGCCAACCAATAGGTTTGTTTCCTGGGTGGTATAAAACGGGGAAGGAAGGAAGAGGTTCGCATACACTTTCGAAGAGCTCAAGTCAGGTTGAGTTGGTGCGACTTTGCTCCCTTTGCCTTTGGACGTGGGTCTCAAGTTTCTTCAGCCTTTACAAGCAGACTCATGGCAGAAACTCCCCATTGAGATCCCGGGCCTTCTTTACAAGTGCACTGGCCCTGCACCCTGGATCTCTCTGTTCTGCAGCTTCCGTCTTCTTGGGCTGAGCAGCTACTGGAGCCTCTGTTTCTCCCGCAGTGGCCAGCCACCGTGGACTCACCCATGTCTGGTCCTGTATGCCTACCTAACCACTCCTCTTGCACTGTTAGACAATACTTTCCATTGATTTTACTCCTATAGGGACCCCTAATTAATACAGTTAGTATTTTCTTCATTGTATATTTGGAAAAGAAAGATCAAGAGGCTAAATAATTTGCTAACAAACTGAAAAACTACAGGAAATCTTAAGAGGTTCTTCTCATCCAACCACAGTTCTGTTAGATTTATCCATCTATATTTGAATCACCTTCTTATGTGCAGCATTTTATGTCACACTTGCTAATTCAGATAGTTTCCTGAACACTTATGCTGCAGTATCCCTTGAATGTTCCCAGTAAGTTTCACTTCAGATGTCCATTTCTTATCTTTTTTTTCAGGCCTATACTGTGTGTTAAAATTATTTAAGCAAGTTGTAAGAGCTCTGATTTATGTGAAAGCTTCTCTTATCAAAATAAGCAAATTAGCAGCCATTAACTAATTAATGTGGCACCTGAGTAATTTCTAAAATATGCTCTCAACTAGGGTTGTTTTATTTAGATAATGTCAAAATAGTGGACACATTTATCATCTAAACTTTTGATTTGTTGAGCAGCAATCAATCTTACACCTAACTGACTTGAAGTTTTGGTAAAACATAAATAAAGATCGGATCTCTTTTCCCAGTTAGAGGCTGGTGACAGAAATTAGTGAAAGTAGGGGCTGAAGCATTCAAGGAAATAGGCAAAAGCAGCTGCACATGTGGTCCATAGTTAGCTGGTAACAAGGAAGGTCAATTCCCTGAAGTGAAGTTTCAGATATTTCTTAATATTGTTTGTTTCCAGATATGAGAATAAAAATATCAAACACATTACTAAGCCTGAGTACCAGGTAGGTACTCAAAGCTGTCTTGTGATGGTTAATCTTGACCTGGTTGACTGGAGGGCTCCTAGGAGATTAGTGGACCCTACTTCTGGGCATGTTTGAGTAGGCTGTAGAGCTGTGACCTTGGGAAATACCTCTGCTGCCTCACCCCTTCCTTTCTGGCTCTTCCTTGATCTCTGCTTCCGAGATGCCATGGAGGAAGGAGCTGTTCTCTGCCATGCCCTACACAGTGATCTTCCAGTCTTCAGGCCAGCCAAACATGGACTGAAACTTCTGAAACCGCGAGCCAAAATAAACCTCCTCTCCTTTCAGTTATATATGCCACTGCTTTGTCCCAGCAACAGAAAGATGACTAATACATGTCTAAGTGATATATCTGGACTCATTTTTAATTGATTTTGATCACTATAAGTTTCTTTTTAGTTTGAAATAAATATTTTCAATTATTTACATATTTTCCAAACTTATCAAGATTGGACCATAAGCTCCTCTTGTGGCATATGGCATAAAATTGTCAGCCTATGGTCCGTGGAAAGTCATTTATACATTCAGTGTGGATGTTTTCTTAGGCCTGCTCTTCTTTTTTTACGTGAACATAACAAAATACATATGATTGTGTACAAATTTAGGGCATGTATGATTTTAACTCTCTACTTTCAAAATCTATAATATCTATAAATTTGGGGGTTTTTTGGTACCAGGGATCGAACTTGGATCCTTGCGCTTTCACAGCAGGTGGCAAAACCACTGAGCTAAGTCCCCGGCCCTATCATATCTATAGGTTTTTAATATAGAGTCTTGTTCTATTGTCTTTTCAGGTACTTGTATCCACACAAGGTTCCAGTTCCCACTGTTAAGCCCACCATGACCAAATACAAGTTCCCATCATAGCTCAGTTCTGAGCTCTGGACTCCTTTATCAAAGGTATTGTTTCTTATTTCTTAGTTCAATAAATGCCATAGATATCGTAAAGTATTCAGTCCAGAAAGTTAGAAGCCACGTATGATGCATCTCTGCTTGTTAACATAAAAACTAATCCAGCACCAAATCCTTTCCATTTTTTTCTGCTCAGAAGTACAGGAATCTGATCATTTCTGTTCACTTGCCAGCATCCATTGTGTGCATTCTCCAAGTGCCTTGTCTTTTCTTTGTATGTGGTTTGTAATTATACAACCATCCGTGGGCTTATTTATAAATACTGAATCCCACCATTAAGGTCCACTTTCATGTAGACAGTGACAACATATATTTTAGTCTCCATTTATTCCCAGAAAAATACCACAGGGCTCAATAACTATGAGCAGAACTGAATGTGAAAAATTAAGCTTGTTTTTCTTCATTAACATGATAGAACAATTAATATCATGATATATATTAAAGTTCTCTAGAGGAAAAGATTTAAAATAAAATATATGTGTGATTGTAAGAGGGACTTATGAGGTGGGGTTATCAGGAGGGGAAGAGCCCCCAAGGCTGTTGACCAGGGACAGAAGAATCCAAAATAGCTGCCTGTGCTCTGGACTGGGATCTCTCCGCAGAGTACCTGGTGCAAGTCTGTGTCAAAAAGGCTGAGAGCCTCCACTGGACTGTGGAAGTGACTGCACTTAAAGCCTGAAGGAATTGGAGACCGAGGCTCAAAGACAATGTCAAAGAGTGGAGGTCTTCTGAGGGCAAAGGGAGGGATTTCATTCTTCTTTCCCTATTTATTCCATCCTTGCTATCAGCCTAATCACTGGTGCCACCCATATCTGGGGGGGCGGGTCTTCCCCCTCAGTGCAGTGCCTTGGTGTGGTCATCACAGACACACCCCAAGCTTTGCTACTCCACTAGGCAGTTCAAAATCAACCAAGCCTACATTATAAATTCCAGTAAATGAACTTGAGTCATTGTAGGAAAATAGATGGATCCTGAGACCATCATATGGAGTGAAATTAATCAGCCATAGAAGGTTAAATATCACCTGGTCTCTCTAATGGAACAAATCCCAAATATAAATAATTTATAAATCCATGTGAATGAGAGTTGGTAGGAAAAGGAAGCAGACTCTGTGGAGATGGGAAGAGGAGAGCGGGAGAAGGAGAATTGATCAAAATGCTCCATGTGCATTTCATATTTCCCCAAGATGAAGGTAATTATTGTATATTAAAAACATACACTCATTAAAAAGGAAAAATTTTGAACAAAAACTATCCCCAATGGAATCAGTACACACTTATTCACTGGGCCTGGCTCCGCATAACTTCCAGCTTACCCTAAAGTCAAAATGATGATGAAAGGTAAATTGTTTGGAATTATTTCAAAGTATTGAGGCAGCCAAAACAGTGCGAGTGAAGACACCAGGTGGGACTTTCAGAACTGCTTCAGACAGTGGCAGTAAAGATGGGATAAGGGTGTTCTAATTGAGGGAAAGCATTATGAAGGGGTTTCCTGGCAATGTGTCTTTTACTGTAATATTTTTAATTTAAATAACCACACCTGGTGTAAATCTTAGCCAAAAAAGTATCCTAGATGTGACACAATTTGTTGCATCTGTCATAGTCCAGCATGCGAAATTGCTCATGTCCCTCTCGTTTTACTAATGTCCTTAGCAGACATGGAGATAGGGCCAAAAGACTGTATGTCATCACCTGATGCTAGAATCTAACGCCGTTTCACATATAAACCAAAGTACGTTTTGCATCGTTTCATTGTATTGCTCTTTAGGAATGAAACTGGTCTGGAAAACGAAGGAACGTTTCATGCTTCCTTGTTTGCATCTTTTCTTAGACACAGTCATAACCTTGGACAACCACATTAGTGGAAAAGCTGCTGGTAGTGTTTGTGTGGCCATTAAATACATGAGTATAATTGTGTAGTTTTAGCTGCCATATTCACCTTGATTCTCCACAGAAGTAGAAACATCAAATTAGTACATTATGTTCTTGTACAGTCATTCTTGAGCAGGTCCATATCAAAATATCATCATCTCTTCCTATCCATGAGTTTGACATCTGTGAATTCAACCAACTGTGGGTTGAGAATATTCAAAAAAATAAATCATGTCTGTATTGCAACTGTAGAGGTTGCTTTTCCTTCTCATTACTCACTAAAACAGACCTGTAAAACAACTACTCATATAAAATCTTGTATTAAGTATTATAACAAATCTAGACATGCTTTAAAATATATGAGAGAATTGTATGGGTTGCATGACAAGTCTGCAGCATTTTATATAAGGGACATCTTCACATTTTGATATCTAGGGATGGTCGTGGAGTCAGTTCCCCACAAATATGGAGGAGTGATTGCTCATTTTTTTATATTCGAAATCACTTGACTTTTTCTCTTTCATGTATCATAAAGCATTATTGACTTCATTTTTTTAATTTCTAAAAATGTACGTTTTATTAACTTTAAAAAGAATTTCTGGATATCAAAAGGACTATTACAACTTGTTACTTTACAAACAAGAGTAGCTGAAACAGATTGAGTTGAAATAACACTTTCTAAGGTACGTATTGTCCTGGGTGTGCTTTGGTGCCCTTGGGGTAAGTTTGTGATGATACAGACATCCGAAAGCAGTGAGAAAATTAGATCAGCCATTTAAGATGGAGTCCATTCCAGGCCAATTTCATCATGTGTAATGATGTGAGAAATGAAGAAAAGTAGAGGAATCTAGCTCTTCTGAACCCGTGTTCCCTGTCAAATGAGACTGAGTTAAAAGTCATTCAGATGTCTCCTGTGGATTCCACTATTTATTTTGCCTTAGCAATTAATTATCTCACAAATTCAGTTAGTGATTTCCTTGTCTCCACTAAATTGCATGATACTTGTTATTGCTAATTTTTTATCAAACTTGTTATCATTCTTTAAAAAAATCCTATTACAAAGCACCCAGCAAGTGATGTCCATTTAATTGAAAGCATCAGAAGCAAATTATAATAAGAGAAATTGTGTTATGGACTTTCATGGATGGGAAATGGTGAAGTTCATAAACTTTGAAGGGCAAAACAATCAAGATTCAGGAAGGTAGATACCAGAGAAGCAGCAAGCACCGTCACTGCAACAGTGAATGCAGTCGATCTAGTTTGCTTCATGTTTCTGTCCTGGAACAATCTCTTATGCCCAAGAAAAAGGAAAAGTGGCTTTCCTAGAGTATTGGAAGATACTGTTGGGAGTGTGATGTCATGCTAATTGGTATTATAAAAATTCAATAAATATTTTAATAGGCAAGGAAAACAAAGAAGACTGTGGTGAAATATTTTCAATGAACCATTATTTCACAAAGTTTTCTGCACTCTCATGAAAATGAAATTTGTAATGCTAACACTGAACCACATGATTTAATTATATTTTTTAAAAGAATATAAGCTCGCCCTGAAACACATCTAGCATGACTGAAAGGTAGAGAGAAAATACCGTGAATGTCAAAGGAAATAATTTCCAGAATTTAGAATATTTCATTTTAAGTAAAAATATTTCACAACTGATTACATCTTATTTTGCTCCAAATATGAGGCTGTGCTGCCACACTATTATGATAAATAGTTTACAAAAGTTCTATTTGGAAGTGAATTGGTTCACATTTTGTTCAGTTCGGTGGCCCAAAGCATATTCTTAGGCCAAATGGAAGTCTTAGATCATTATTGAAACAATTCCTCAAAATCTGATATACTAAAGTAATTTAATAACATTCTGGTTGGATTATATGGCATTAGATATCTTTTTTATCAGACTACATGTTATTCTTATCAGTTTTTATTGTGTTATAATTTGAAATTGTTGAAGTATCTGTGATTAAACAGGTAAGTACTTACATCCTTAACAGATATAAAATGTATCTTAAAACGCAAAAGTGCAAACTCTGATGATTTCAATTTTGAGCAGGTAATTCGAATTTAAATCTACCAAGTTTAATTTTTGCTGAAACACTCTGTGTTCTGTTCCATAGAACACATAATGTAACTCTCATAAGAGGTAAGTTATTTATGCCCGGGGGGAGAATCACCTCCTTCTGCTTGCTGGAAACCAGCCCCTCTCTTTGCTCTGGGGTTCCAGCTGATGGTCTACAGGCTGCCGGAGAGCGCACAGTTCACAAGATATCATTTTCACTTCACCATTCTCTCTGCTTCACTCAAGCACAATGCATAGTGTTCAATCGCAATAGGCTGGCTGAGAGTCCAGTAGCCATTTTTTAAAAATCTCACACTGCGATCCCTGAGAACCTTCTGGATCCCTATGAGATGTATGCTATAAGGTGAGGGGAAGTTAGCACATAACCAGTTAGATCATTGCGCATGGCGCTTTCTTTTAATAACCTATTGACAACACCTAAAGTGTACTTTATTTTTTATAATACCTCAAATAATGCTTTCATTATTTCCATTCTTCTTTATGGAGATTGACTTTTGCATTAAGGTTAAAAATGTACTTTCCTCTTAATTTATGTAAATTCTCCTACTGATATTGATTTGAATTAATTTAGTTTCACATCTCCTTGCCACCATTAGAGAGAATTATTCTATATTATAAAATTTGGTCTATGATGCTGTCTATGAATAATGTCCAAGGCTGTGTGCATTATGATTTATTTAGCCTTAAAATTAATTTAAAAATGATAATTTTGAAAATTATGTTATCTAATCCGCCATGCTTTCCCCCCCTCCTTTTAAAGAATATATTTTGAAGGAGTTATGTTGCTTTACTGCTCTGTCCAATATGGTATCCATTAGCCACATATCTATGAAGAATGTGAAATGGCTGGTATAAATGAGCAGTTGAATTTCAACCTTAATTAAGAAAATTATAAATTAAAATATGGATGTTGAATTCAGTTTTTGAAAACTTTTAAGTATATTTAGAATAACTAGGGTATTTGGGTATACTTTCTCAACAGTAAATTTAACTAAATCTAAATAGAGACCAGTTATTTCCAAAGAAAATTT